TACATCCGGGGCCTGGGCGGCGGCACCGCCGCCGCACGGGAGTCACGTGGGCCGTCCCTTTCCGTCTCTGGCCGGCTGGGCGCGGGCGACTGCTGGCGAGGCGCGTGGAACCTCGCGCTGGTTCCTCTTCGTCTCCTCTCCCGGCCAGGCCCACTAAGGAGTTCCCTGACGCCGGGTGAGCTGAGCCTGCCGCCAAGATGCCGGCCTATTTCCAGAGGCCGGAAAATGCCCTCAAGCGCGCCAACGGTGAGTGCGGGGTCGGGGCGCGCCGGACTGGGGCGGCCCGAGGCCTCGGAGGTCGAGGGCCCGGGCCTGCTTCTCGTTGCTCCGCTGGCCGGGCTGCGGCTGGAGAGAAGCCCGATGCGGCCTGCCCACCGCCGTCCCAGCCCATGGTTGGGCATGGTTTCCCTTCCCAGTCCGACCGACCAGGGGTTGGGAGGCGCGAAGCCCGGAACCGTCACCCCGGGGGCCCTTCCTTTCCCACGCCGCCTTCTGGTGCGTCTCGGGGGCCGCAGCCCGGGAGACAGGCCTTGCTCGGACCCAGACTCCTTCACCCCTGTCCGCCTCCGCTGGCGCTCCAGACCACGGGACTCTGGTCTGCTTGGGCCCCGCGCCCCCGGCCGCCGTCTGGGAGTGCTGGGGAGGAAGAAACATGGCTCCCTCCCGGGGACAATGCACGCGAGAACCTCGGCTCCACCTCCCACCGGGGCCGGGAGCTCGGCAGTCCCACCTCGGGCTCTCCCGCAGAAACCTCCGCCCCCCCGAGCCCCGCGCGGTGCTTTGCTGGGTCAGGGTCCACTGAGCCTTCAGCCAGCCACTTGATATCTGCTTCTGGGTCTCTGACCCATTTAACCGGTTTCCTGTGTGTTTTTATTTTCCTGGCATTGATTGGGGTCAGTCCAAAAGCCTATTCTGAATCGAGGAAGTTGGGTCAGAGTTAATATTATAAAGGGACTTGAGGTCCTCTCCTAACGATAACGAAATTGAGGCCGAGAGACAGAATGGCTTTCTTTTTCAAGGTCACTCCGGGAGTTAGTTGTTGAGCCAGGAGACTAAAACCAAAGTCTGTTAACACAGAGATAAGTTTTTTTCGCCACAACGCTGCTACCTGCCATTCCTGTTTCCTTCCATATGTGTACTTAGGACCATGGTAGCCTGCAGGGAAAATTTGTGTGCCCCGATCTCTTCAAGAGGCATTTATCACATTGGCATTATGGGGGTGAAAATGGCTTATGTATGTCTGTGGTCCTTGAACACTTTACTGTTAAGGGTTTTTAAGTCCTGATATCTTGTAGATGGGTATACCGTGTCTGTTCCAGTTTTGTGTTTGTAGAGCTTATTTTGTTAGCTGTTTGGAAATTCATCTTGTGAAAAGGTCAGTTTGAGTCACTACGTAAAATCGATACTACTGATAATATGTCAGGGCCAGAGATGTGCTGGTCACATACTTTTTTTAAACTAAAAGTAACAACTTGGAACCATCTGTGAAATAGGATAATTCCACATTCTGTGGACTAGAGTAATTTAAAAAACCTATTAAAACTACAAAATGGATCTGATAACTAGTCATTCTAACTAGCGATCTTATGGTTAGAACAGGCAGGAAGTTTAAGGACGTTTATAAATTCATAGGAAAGAAAATAGGTTGAAATGGAAATTTATCACTCAAACTAAAGTGTAGCAAAGTTACCACATTTTTGATGTTTTGAAACTTAGAATTATACTATGGTATGCAAAATGACTTGCATGAAATTACTGTGGTGCATATCTATTATAGATCTGTTTTAAAGTTATTTGTACTCTTTACCAACAGGCATTTTTTTCCATGCTTGTAGGCACTGTAGTCTCTGGCCTGTTACACATTCGGTGTATTCAGGCTTTGTTTCCTTCATCAGTACTTCCTTTGTAATCTTCATGTGAATTTAGTATTTCTGTAACTTTTTAAAACTAGAAAGAATGCATACATTTATCAAATCTTTTTTCAGTTTCTAAGTTGAAATAGACTTGGTTCATGAAGGGCAAATTAGGGTAAGCATCTGAAATTAAAGTAGGCAAGATGAGAGAAGGATTCTGGGGGTGGGGGGAGACTTGAATTTTGTTTGTAGTTGACTACTTGCTGCAGCTCCTTTAAGCTGTAGTGGGGGGGGGGGGTTCTGTTGTGGAGATGCCTTACCTTCCAGGTAGTAACCTCTGTACTTTTTATCTTTTGAGTGAGGGATCCCTTCTCAGTGTCAAAGTGAGCAGGTTGTGGATGGCACATGGCACTGCTTACAAAACATTAAATAAAACAAGTAAAGGGCATTTCACTTAGCAGAAATAATCTCTTCATCTAAATGTTTGATCTGTGACATTTGTAACCCCAAACATTTAGACCTAACTGGTTGCATTGTCTTAATAAAATGTAAATAAATTTAAGTAGAACAGTCATTCAGGTCACCCTAAGCTTGAATATTAGAGCAGTATTTTTTGAAAAACTTATAGTAATCTTTGAGGAAAGTGAGAAAACTGGCCCAGCAATTACAAGCAAGAAATTCATATCCTGTAATCATTTGAGGAAGGCTCCTTTTGCAGATTATGTGTGATGTTAGTAGTGTCAAGCTAGGTGCTCCTGATCCTGTAACACTGTACAACCAATGCCTTAAAAAATAAAATTCTTATTAAACCCACAGATTGAGTAACATTATCGCTTATCTATTTGGTCTGTTGCACAAACTAGTGAAAATGAAGGGCTGACCTACACTTTTTTTCCTTTTTCTTATAGATACATAGTTTTCAGTCACGTGTCTGAAAGGTAAACTCAGAATGCCACCCTCTTAGTTTATACTACCAGATTTTAATTTTAATTTCTAGAATATTAATTTGGAAATCAACATTTCTTTATTGGAATAGAGCCTTTAGTGTATGGTAGTTTTGATAATTCAGAGGAACTAAATCCTCCTTGTGTAGAAGTTTAGGATAAAGACAGGAAAACTCACCATCATGGATTATCATGAAAAATCTGTTCCCATTCCAGTTTTTTATTTGTCTGCTATCCATGTTTTGTTTTTCTTTTTTTTTTTGTTTTTGTTTTTGTTTTTGTTTGGTGGAGGTGTTTGTCCTATAAAATTACATCTTTTCATGTGTTGCTTTGGCTTGATTGAGACTTGTTTCGAAGTAAAAATATGGGATTTGGAATAAGAAATTTTTATAGACTCTTTGGGAAGTGAAAAATGCTTTTAGTTCTGTCCTTAAATAAGACTTTTTTAGAATGGCAATAAGAAACCACACTCCCATTTAAAAATAAAACGGACTGGGCTTGCCCATGGCTTACTCGGGAGAGTGTGGTGCTGATAACACCAAGGCCACGGGTTCGGATCCCATATAGGGATGGCCGGTTTGCTCACTGGGTGAGCGTGGTGCTGACAACACCAAGTCAAGGGTTAAGATCCCCTTACCGGTCATCTTTTAAAAAAAAGAAAATAAAAGAAAAAAAATTTTGTCCAATTTTTTTTCCTTAGGAGGAAAATAATGATTTAAAAAAGGGAGATGTAGTGTCTTAAGACATTTTTATAGTGTTATAGTTCCCACAAATTGTTTTTCAAATGGGCAGTGGGAAGATTTTTTTTTTGTGTGTGTGTGTGTGTGTGAAATTTGGCAATTTTTGAATATTAAATTGAACTTAGGGCTGACTGGATATCTCAGTTGGGTGTGGATTCCTGTATTGGCCAGCCATGGGGAAAAAAATTGAGTTTAACCAGTTTCAATGGTAAATCAAGTTTCAGTATGAATTTTGGAGGTACACCAATATTCAAAGCATAGCATCTTTCAGTTGGGATTTGTCTTAATGTTTTTCTCATATTTAGACTGGGGTAAATAAGTGGAGAGATTCTCTGTTCATGGATTGGAAAACTCAGTATCTTCAGTTCTTCCAAACTTGTGGATTCATTGCAGTCCCAATCAAAATCCCAGCAAATTATTTTGTAGATTTTCAAGTTGATTATAAAGTTTATACAGAAAGGCAAGAGAGCTAGTATAACTAATACAACACTGAAAGAAGAACAAAGTTGGAGCACACACTGTCTCATTTCTAGACTTTACTATAAGGGTATAGCAATCAAGACAGTGTAGTATTGCCAAAAGACTAGACATATTGATTAACAGAGGATAATCAGAATAGAAAGCCCAGAAATAGACCCACTTTATAGTTACCTGGTCTTAAAGGAGCAAAGGCAATCTAATATGTTCTTTTGCCTTTAGTGGTAGCATGAACTGGCAGAAATTTCATCAGCCTGATCAGTGTGACTGTGAAGTCATACTTGAACTTTGCTGTGTTTGCAAGGGGGAGATTTTTTCCCTCATGTTTTCGATTTCTGGAACTTTTAATAAATCACAATGGAATTGAATGAAATTCAGTTTTACCTGTAGACCATATTTTGAGATACAGGTTGAGTATTCCTTATCTAAAATGATTGGGACCAGAAGAGTTTTGAATTTCAGATTTTTGTGGATTTTGGAAAAATTGCATATACATAGGTATCTTGGGGGATGAGACCCAAGTCTAAACACAAAATTCATTTGTGTTTCATGTATACCTTGTATACATATCCTGAAGGTAATTTTATGTAATACTTTTGATAATTTTGCAGATGACACAAAGTTTGTGTATATCAAACCATCAGAAAGCAAAAGTGTGCAGGCATACATGGAAAAGATATATTGCAGCTGAAGGGGATTGGGAAGGTCTTTTCCCTTGGGGACACTGAATAAACTGTGTTATGCACCTGCATTTTAATTGCAACCTATCACACATGGTCAGGTGTGGACTTTTCCACTTGAAGCATCATGTCAGAGCTTAAAAGTTTTTGGAGCATTTCGGATTTCAGTTTTTCAGATTAGAGATGCTCAAACAGTCTTTTCATTGTTTTACCTTGGATAATTACGGCATAGCTTTAGAAGTCAAAAATAACGTGATCTTAAAAAAGGTGGTCGTGGATTAAATTAAAACAGCTTGTTGAAAAAGCAAGGTTTGAACTTTTGTGTAGTATGCATACCTGATTTTAATTTTCCTGAATTACTTTTTCAGAATTTCTTGAGGTTGGCAAAAAGCAACCTGCTCTTGATGTTCTTTATGATGTTATGAAAAGTAAGAAACATAGAACATGGCAAAAGATACACGAGCCAATTATGTTGAAATATTTGGAACTTTGCGTGGATCTTCGCAAGAGCCACTTGGCTAAGGAAGGATTATACCAGTATAAGAACATATGTCAACAGGTACAACCAGAACTGGATTTTATATCTTTAATAAGTACTTTTAGTAATTTGCAGAAGAGTTTACTTTTCAGAGTTAACATATTTTATATCTCTTAAAATTTGCTTTTTGAACATTTTATGGTTCATTGGAAGAAACAGTTTAAGTTCGGATTTTTTTTTTTTTTGGTGGGACGGTTAGGTAAACATCAAATCTCTGGAGGACGTTGTTAGGGCGTATTTGAAACTGGCAGAGGAAAAAACTGAAGCTGCTAAAGAAGAATCCCAGCAGATGGTCCTGGACATAGAAGACCTAGATAATATCCAGACTCCTGAGAGGTATGTGGTTAAACTCTAGTAAATCTTTTCATAGTTAACTCAACATTTTTCTTCACCTGGGTCTCCATCATTCCCATTTAATGTAGATGTTTATCAGAAAGAATGCATATCTTTGAAGTTCTAAGTGTATGGTAACCAAAAAAATTATGTAAGTAATATTCAAAATGCATAAAAATGGAAAATTACAGTCTTAAAATAGAAGGGCATATATTAATTTAAATCGTTGTAATACAGATTGGGAATTGTTAGTAGACAGTGAAAACCTTACGTTGTGTACAAAGTTGTTGGAAGAACTTGCACTATTTTATGATGATCATTGTTGGGTTTGTTTTTTTTAATCACATGGCAAAGTAGGAAACCATGTCTAAAATTGTTTTCAACATTTTTCTTTCTCTGTAGTGTTCTCCTAAGTGCTGTAAGTGGTGAAGACACTCAGGATCGTACTGACAGATTACTTTTAACTCCGTGGGTTAAATTCCTTTGGGAATCATATAGACAGTGTTTGGACCTACTTCGAAACAATTCTAGAGTAGAGCGCCTCTACCATGATATTGCCCAACAAGGTAAGATGAGAACATGAAATCTGAGTAAATTGATTTGAAAAGTTGACTTAAGAATAGATTTTTCAGAAGATTAACTTCCTTTTCTCCATTGTACTTAACTAGTTTTTACCCTTATTGAAATATGATTGGCATTCACTTTTTTTTTTTTTTTTTTATAAGATGACCGGTAAGGGGATCTTAACCCTTGACTTGGTGTTGTCAGCACCACGCTCAGCCAGTGAGCAAACCGGCCATCCCTATATGGGATCCGAACCCGGGGCCTTGGTGTTATCAGCACCGCACTCTCCCGAGTGAGCCACGGGCCGGCCCCGATTGGCATTCATTTGAGTATTAATGACTGAATAAGAAATTTGTTGTACTAGTTAAAGATAGTTCCTTATGAAATGTATCCCATTGATGTCTCAAAGACCTTTTAAAATCATTTTGGAATTCCCTAGGTGACTGAAAATAATAAACTTTTTCATTGCTGTCTGGTAAACTTGAGTTCTACTTTTGGCACCTTGTTGCATATTCCTTAGAAGGTTCCTTAGCTGTGCACTGGGTTTTTAAGATCTCTTTAAGATCTATGTTTTTAAAGGATTCCATGAAAAATATGTTTTTTTTTTCTTAAACAACATCACTGAATATAGAATTAAGCCTTCTTGATGACTAAGGATCATCTTAATAAATATGCAGTTGTTCTGCATGCACTTTTAATCTGTGAAGGCCTGTATTGAAAGTATCTTCTCTCTTTCTCTGTCACTTGATACTCTTTCCTGCGGTAATGTAACCTTTTATCTGTATGTGACTGGGTAACTTAGTGGAGAGTGGCTTGTGGCTTTTTTCTTCTTTGCTCTAGGTATAGCTTGTGTTGTCAGTCTTACAGGGATGATTGGCATTTGCTTATTCGAGTGTTGAGTGACTTTGTGACTAAGAATGTTTTACTAGGAATATTGGAACCTGTGTTCTGTTTTGCTTACATGGCTAGCATATGTGTATTTTCACTTAATAGAAGTAAACTTGGACTTTTTTGTAACTTGACATAAATATTAATGTGAAGTTAAACTGTATCCCTTTTTTAAAAGCCTGTTGAAATAGAAATACTATATATTTTTTGAGGACAAAGATATTCTAAAAATTATTAAAGTATTGCATGTATGACATTAGAAAATTACCGTGTTCTTTAATGATGGAGCAAGTAGTGCATATATACATCTATGTACACAGTTGAAATTAGGTTACTGTAAGCCTCCAATTTTATTACATAGTTTTAATTAGTACAAAAGCATGTTGCTTTCTATGTAAGTTAGGTGTCAAAGTTCATTGTATTTCAGGCTAGAATTTTTTACTCTTAGGATTTGGAGTGATAGATCTTTGAAATGTAAGTCTTTCCTAGATCTAAGTTCCAATAGTTTCTCATTTATGTACCAGAATATATTTTGGTTTTAGGCCAGACGTGATGACTGCATCATCTTTGATTTTGTCACGGTTCAGTCAAAGAGGTAGTCAGGACACATGAAATGAGTTATGACGCTTACATTCAAAGACTGATGAGTTTGTGAATCTTGTTTAAATAACTGATCTTAATATGTGAAATAAAATCTATTCAGATATTTAAGTTGACAGTAGGAAGTACCTAATATATTTTATAATTATGCTTATAGCTTTCAAATTCTGCCTCCAATATACCCGTAAGGCTGAGTTCCGTAAACTGTGTGACAATTTGAGAATGCACTTATCGCAGATTCAGCGCCACCATAACCAAAGTACAGCAATCAATCTTAATAATCCAGAGAGCCAGTCCATGCATTTGGAAACCAGGCTTGTTCAGTTGGACAGTGCTATCAGCATGGAATTATGGCAGGTATGTGTGAATTATTAGCTTTTCTTTCTGGTAATAATGGCCTATTACTTTTTTTCACTAATAATGAGTATCTTCATCTTAGTATGTTTTGGTTAATTTCAATAGATAAGGTGAGGAATTTAAGATTGTCTGATGGAATAGGGAGAGTTCTAGATAGGAAATCTCAGAATATTTTGGTTCTAGTTGCTGTCTGTGAAATCTAGGCCAGATCACGTAATTTCTTTCAGACCTGGTTTCTTTCCGAATAAAACGTATGTTTTTATTTTTTATTTTATTTTATTTTAATTTATCAATATACAGTGTAGTTGATTTTCGTGTCCCTTTATTAATTTAAAACGGTATGTCTTTATTGCTGCTCAAAGTGTGGTTCCATGACTGGTGTCAGTCTGTGAATGGTTTAGTCCATGGTGAAGTAAGTAGAGGCAAAAAACATTTACAATTTTTTTTATAGCAATTTCATTATAATTTTGTGTCTGTTTACTTTGATAATAAAATAAACTTGTCCTTTACTACAGATAGTTGTAGAAGTGTGCACTAGACTATTTCCTAGGTTTCTTGGTGCTGCGTTAGCTTAATAATTTTGTGTGGTGAATACCATACATTGGAGATCTCAGCGGTGGTGGGAAGCTCGTCCTCTACCTGGCCTTTTTCCATAAGAATCCTCAAAGACATTTTGACATGATTTTGTAACCGTAAAACTTGAAGGCCTTTATGTATTTAACAAAATATATCTAATTGAAATTACAGAGGAAGAAACTAAAAACCGGGAGTTTTTAAGGCCAAGTGAAAATGTGATTTGATTTTTTGTTCTCACCCCATAATATTTTCCTTTTCCGTAGGGAAACCCATCTTAAATACTATCTATAGAAGACAAAAATGGTTATTATAGAAAAAATGGATTAAGTTAAAGGAACATATTCACCCATTATCTCAGCACTCAGAAATCATCTGTTTATTCTGTTTTACATCATTTCCAAGTTTTTTCTTTGTATTCTCCCAAGTGGTATGATAATATGCAAATGTCTTCTTTTTTAGTGTGCTCTATCTACTTTACGGTATTTCCTAAAGAATTTTAAAAAATTTAAGGAGTTAGTGTTTTTGTAATTATGGTTGTTTTCTTAAACATATCAGGTATTAAATTATAGATGAATAAAAAGAACAACACATGAAGACATTTTATCTGCTGCTTTTATTTTTGTGTTCTGTGTTTCAGGTTTCATAGAATGATTTGAATTAGATTTTTTTGTATTAGAGTGCAATGCCTGTAATTTATACTGCTAATTTTTTTTAGGAAGCATTCAAAGCCGTGGAAGATATTCATGGGCTATTCTCCTTGTCTAAAAAACCACCTAAACCTCAGTTAATGGCAAATTACTATAACAAAGTCTCAACTGTGTTTTGGAAATCTGGAAATGCTCTTTTTCATGCATCTACACTCCACCGTCTTTATCACTTGTCTAGAGAAATGAGGAAGAATCTTACACAAGATGAGATGCAAAGGTAAGGATGTTATGGGTGGATAGTGTTGAGATTGTGAACCATATCTTCTACCAAATGGCATAGTAGTAGTATGTTCTGTCTAGGTCAGGGTTTCATAGCCTCTGTACTCGTCACATTTTGGGTTGGACAGTTCTTTGTTGTGGGGCACTGTCCTCTGTATTGTAGGATGTTTTAGCATTCCTAGCCTCTACATATTATATACCAGTAGCAGCCCCCCGGTTGTGACTACCAAAAATGTCTCCAGATATTGTTCTTTGACTGTGTTTTTGGTCTTTGGTGTAGTGTCTTTTGTCTGATAACCAACTCCACCAAAAGCCCGGTTGAGAAAATTGGTTAAGAAGATGACTGTGTTAATGTCTATTTTTGGAACAAATAAAACGAGATGTACTTCTATCAAATAATTTTTTTCATGTATAAATTATTAACTGTAGAATATTTGGGTTACACACACATGACCCAACAACCTATAGACCATTTAACTTACTTATTTAATTTTTTGGCCTCTGGCAGGTATGGGAATCTGAACTCATGGCCCTGGTGTTATACGGCCGTGCTCTAACGAACGGAGCTAACCAACCAGCCCCATTTTACTTTTTTAACATTATGTATATTGCTTGTTTTCTTTCAGTCGTGTTTCAAAAATACATTTCAGCTGGACTAAGGCAACTCACATGTCGGTTTTTTTCTTGTATTGGTAGACAATATTATTTTGGCTTCCAGTAGAATTATGTGCACCAAATTGTTTTTCTTATAGTTTTACAGTGATACATAGAACCGACTCAATGAATTCTGCTGGTATATTTTCTTTGAAACTCTTGAGGACAGTGTCCATTATGTCATTCCCTGGTCTCTTATGTAATCCACGTCTGTTCGATACAAGAAAAAAATGTATTTTCCTTCAAGATACTTAACACTGTTCCTTCAAAGAGTACTATAATAATAATGAGCATTAGGCTATTTAGCTGTATGTACATTATTAGGTTTAATCTTCACAACAGCCTTAGACTCAGAAAATTAAGTATCTTAAGGTCACAGTCTTGCAAATGGTGACACTGAGATTCTAGCCCTCAGCTCCGGGGCTCCAGAGCCCACAATCCTTAGCATTCCATAGTTTTCTGAATTCAGCCTGATTTCCCTCTTGTGTTTCAGGGAAGTGAAAATTTAGCTTTTCACCTTGTGCCCCTCTCCCACTCCACCGCTCCCCAAAATGTGTTTGCATATGGTACTTGTAATTTTTCTTCCCTTATTTCCACTTATTTCTTTAGTTTTTAAAGCTGCCCTAATTATTTTTGTGAGGAAGTGTGGGGACCATGAATGTGTCTTTTCTGCTATCTAACCAAAATCTTTTTCTGTAGTTAGAAAACATTGACAATAGTAAGTGGGTGATGAAGTTCTGATTCTCCAGGTATTCACTTAAGCACAGATTAATGCCATCTGTGATAGAATAATATTTATGAATATAGTTCACTATGATGATGTATGTATTCTGTCACTGGCATATCTTACCAGATGATTTCTGCTTCAGGTAACACTTGCAAACTTAGATTTAATTTTGTTCTCCTCAGAATGTCTACTAGAGTCCTTTTGGCCACCCTTTCCATCCCTATTACTCCTGAGCGTACTGATATTGCTCGACTTCTGGATATGGATGGCATTATAGTTGAAAAACAACGTCGCCTTGCAACACTACTAGGTCTTCAAGCCCCACCAACGCGAATTGGCCTTATTAATGATATGGTTAGTATAAGTTTCAGTAGTTTTGTAGCTTTGGATAGAAAACTTTGTGATCAGGTTTAATAATTCATGATTAAATACTGGGAGTTCTGATTCATTGCTAGGGGATTTTGATGCATGGACAGGGAACCACTGGTGTAAATCAGCACTTTGTTCAGTTGAGGTGATTCCTGGGTGAGCTGGGGTTAAATTGGTGGGAGCCTTGCTGTAGCAGGACTTGGACTGGCACTGAGAAATACTGTGAACCACTCAGTAAGAGAAAAAGTAACGATTGGCAAGAAGATTCATGGCTTATTTCGGGGGGCTGTAGGAAGACTAATCAAGCTGATGTAGGTGAGATGATGAGAGTAGGAGAGAAGGTGGGGTAGATTTAGGTTTGATTTTGGAAAACTAAAACGTTTCCAACTTTTTTCTCTTTTAAGCTTTTATTTTATGTTATTAAAGTGGTGGTTCTTGCAATGAAATTCTGTGTGAAATACTTTTTAAAATGCAGATTTCTAGGTTTTACCTACCAGATATACTACATTAATTTCGGAGTGTCAAGCCTAAGATTTGTGTATCTTTACAGTGTTACTCATGATGGAAACTTCAGATTCAGTGGAAATCTGTCAAATGCCTATTATGTGCTTGGCAAGTGATACTTAAGATGGAATTTTATTCCAGGCGAGTTTAGATTCTAGGGATTCTCATTCACAGTGGTCTGACTTAGTGATATTGCAGTAATCCCCTCCAGCAAATTGCTTTGGGTTAAGAAGAAGAGGGACAAGCGCTAGAGAAATCTATTAAGGAAAAATCAACTTGACTGTATGTTTGCAAAAAATGGAATCTAAACAGTTAATAGTCCCTGATTTGTGAATAGAACAATTAAAGAAATACCAAAAGGATAATGACAAGTCAGGCTGTCCTAGACATTGTGAAAATGTATTCTGTGGAACCACCTATATAGTCACTCTGGTAAAACCCAGATAAAAGGCCTTAATTTTCTGGAAGAGTCAGTTGATTTAGGTAAGGACTATTAAGCTTATTAGATAGCAGCATTTTTCTCTTGTGATGTATTTATCTGTTTTAGCAGTGATATAGCTTCCCTTTGTAGTCAACTTTTGAAAAGAGCTTATTCTATAAAAGAATATTTCTTTACTTTGTATGCTTTGTGTGTATGTTTTAGTCCACTACCACTGCTCAAAAAGTTCAGCTTTGTCTCGGACAAATTTTCTGCGGGATCGAAATAGGATTAGATGTCACAAAACAACAGCAGTGTCTTTAGGAAGATATTTTATAAGCAAATACATTAAAAAAAATTTTTTTTGAAGCCTAAGAAATGTGCTTAAAGTATAAGCCATATCTTTTGAGGTCATGCCTCTACACGTCACATGTTGATATTAAAGGTGGTTTCTTTCTTTCTTTTTTTTTTTTTTCCTTTTTGTCTTTTTTTTTTTCGTGACCGGCAACGGATCGCAACCCTCGGTGTCGCGCCTGCACCTCACTCAGCCAGTGAGTGGCCGGTCTGTATGTGGGATCCAAACCCTCGGCAGGAGCGCCGCCGCGCTCTCAAGCGGCGCACTGTAGCAGTGTGCCACCGGGCCGGCCCAAAGGTGGTTTCTTATGCTGAGTCAGGGATAAGTGATGGGGAGCATTGGACTAGCAGCCATGTTTGAGCCCTCATTGTGCCCATAGAAAGTATAGAAGTTGGGCCGGCCCAGCGGCGCACTCAGTAGAGTGTGGGGGCGCTCCCGCCGAGGGTTCGGATCTCATGTAGGGACCGGTCCGCTCACTGGTTGGGCGCGGTGCAGGCGCAACACTGAGGGTTGCGGTCCCGTTACCGGTCACGAAAAATGACAAAAAAAAAAGTATAGAAGTTTAAGAGAAAGTACTGGTTGTTGTCAGGTGAGAATAGATTAGCTGACTGCTGAGGCATTTATAAATTTCGCTATATGTCTGGGGTCCAGACCTGAGCTTCGGGCTCATAACTAAATTTGTGAGACCGTGAGAATGATTCCGTTATCTCAGGAAAAGTCTCAAATTAATGAAGTTTATAAGAGGACGGTTTTTAAATCAGAAAGCCAGTTAACTTTAGTAAGAAATTTAACAGTAGATTATGATAACCTATCATAGTTCCCTATTTGGAGGGGGGACTAAATGGAGAATCTAAAATACTTTCTTGATAGGAATGAAATTAGAGCTGGGGGAATTTTATTTGGATGCTAATAGCACATCTTATTGCAATAAAGATATAAGGACCCTTACAGTGGCTCATATTCAGATGTTTTAGGACAACAGTCATGTACCTGTTTTTATTTTTTTTTTTAAAGATGACTGGTAAGGGGATCTTAACCCTTGGCTTGGTGTTGTCAGCACCATGCTCACCCAATGAGCTAACTGGCCATCCCTATATGGCGGGGCCTTGGTGTTATCAGCACCGCACTCTCCCGAGTGAGCCACGGGCCGGCCCATGTACCCGTTTTTTACTGGAGTTAAACTTAGACGAGAGTACTCAATTATGTGGACATCCTCTTCGTTTGGGGATGGGATCTGCCAGCATTTGCCTCAGTCTTGTGACCCAGTCTGTATGGTACACACTCCTGTGTTTTCAAGTTTTGCTCTGTCCCAGCAGTTACTCTGTCCTTGGGTTAGCAGTTCCGAACCTGTGACGTATTCCAGGGTGGAAACGTAGGTAGGTTAGATAGGATTTGGTAAAAGGCAGCTTTTGGCTTTGTAAAATTATGATACTCTTGTCTGCTGTTATAAGAAAGTTTATGCAATTGGCATCATTATTGTGATAGGAAGTTGAGTTCTATTCAAATATAATTAGAAACATTAAAGTATAACATTAAAAAAAGTATAAATCATAAGAGTAATTGGGTCAGTTCTCAAAATATTCTTTGCAGTCACCTCTTTCCCATACTCCCGAGAGTAGCCACTGTCCTGCCTTATAACACCACAAATTGGTTTTGCCTATTTGGGCATTTTATATAAAATTTAAAGTTCATACAAATGTAATAATAAGTGAAATTCTTTTCATAATTGTTTGTGAGGTTTATTCATTTGTTCTATGTAGCTGTTCTCTTTTGACCATTTCTGTTTATTATATGAATGTATCAGTGTCCTGTTGATGGGCATTTTCCAGTTTTTTCCAGTTCGGGGCTATTAGAAATAGTGCTGACGTGATGATTTTTGTGTGACAATTAATATAAAAGTAAAGTTATTATAAGCTTTAGTATTTTACTTGTTATTGATAATAAATTAGTCTATGTAATTTATTATCCACAGTAATTGTCTATATAAATATCTTTTTTTTTTGGTGGCCAGCTGGTATGGGGATCCAAACCCTTGACTTTGTTATGTAAATATCATTATTGATTGTGTTGATTTACAGTTCTTATTTCTTTTTTAAGTTCTTGTGGGGCTTTTCCCTATAGGTAGGTGCATAATATAGGGCAAGAGACTCAACAGCGTAGTACTTAGGATTTCTCTTTGGTAAATTTAAAGGGGGTTGAGGCTAGACATCTTTTGTCTTTCAGATTTTCAATCCTGTAGTTTTAATTTATTGTTTAGAGACACTCAATTGGCAAATTTTCTTTAGCAGTTATACCTTTTGTTTTGCTTACCATAGGTCAGATTTAACGTACTACAATATGTTGTCCCAGAAGTGAAAGACCTTTACAACTGGCTGGAAGTAGAATTTAATCCACTAAAACTCTGCGAGAGAGTCACAAAGGTAAGCCTTTGTATTTAACTTTTGGTTATATTCCATGTAGCTGGCTTTATTGCCACTTTGGGTTGTATTTATATTTGATATGTTTGTTAAGAGAGAAATATTGTCCTTTGTGTTTGAATTTGGTGCACATTTCATTGTCTTTTTTCTTTATATTAAGAGAAAAGGTATTTCTGATGTGCTAAACAAACCTTTGGAGGTAAATTAGCAGCATGACTAATTTAGCCATTGCTGTCAGTCACCTTCAGACAAATATCAACAGCTTCATGGAACATTTTGTATTTGTTTGCATTGTGTGATGTTTTTGTATATTGAAAAAACTGAAAGAGTTTCACGTTTTAATATCTGTTACGTAGAAAGTATAATTCTTTTTCAATTTAATGGATTTTATAGGTTTTAAATTGGGTAAGGGAACAACCTGAAAAGGAACCAGAGTTGCAACAGTATGTGCCACAACTGCAAAACAACACCATACTCCGCCTTCTGCAGCAGGTAAAAATAAAAATGAATAATTTATGAGAGAACTGGAATTCTCCCCTTTGATTGTATGTTTTGAGCACAAAACCAAAGACTAGAAATTTTTTTTTTTTCCTTTTTGTCTTTTTTCGTGTCTGGCAACGGATCGCAACCCTCAGTGTCACGCCCATACCGGACCGGGACCAGCAATGGGATCGCAACCCTTGGTGCTGCGCCCATACCTCGCTCAGCCAGT